CTGCTGCCAGAACAACTCTCAGTGCCTGGAGAAACTTGTGGTGTTCACAGTTGTATGTGTGTGTGCGGTCGGGCGATGGGGGGGGGCGGCGGTAGTTTCTATTGGCATCTGGTAGATAGAGGCCAGGGATGCTACTAAACATTCTAGAAGGCATAGGACAGTCTGACAACAAAGAATTACCCAGCTCACCATATCAATAGTGCCACTGATGAGAAACCTGGACTTAACCGTAGGTAGTGTGTGGGACAGAGGTCCTTTTGCTTAATTAGCAAATGTGCTCATACAGGGCTTTCTCTGGTGGGGAAGGAGTATGTAGGGGGAAGGAAGTAGGTTAAAAATAAGCTATAAGGAGGCATATATTTTCAAATATTCAATTGCAAAACAGCAAAGTCTCGTGTGCCTCCTTGCAAAAGCCGGGCTTGACTAACCGAAGAAGGGAGTGGTTTGTTACTCTTGCTTTTGACTCCCTGACTGCTCCCCCAGTTCTGCACACTAAGGTGGGACAGGTATGTCCCCGTGTTTTCATGTGCTAAAGGACAAGGGGAATGAAGCTTCACCATCAGAGTCTGCTGGCGCCAAGCACGGCACAGGAAAGCCTTGCTCATGCTCTCAGACGGTAGCTACACATGAACTTGGGGTCACCTGGTCGACCGCACAAGTGTCGGGGCACCTGCAGCTACCTGGACCGGGGTTAACCCATGCGCTCCCCTCTGGGCACAGCCTGCTGCGGGGAGCGAGCGGCCCCGCCTCCGCTCCTCCGAGGCCGCCTTCGATGCACACCTGCAGCCAAATCCAGCAGCTACGCATCCCGGACGCACGCTGCCACGGACGGCTCTGCCGCTTGCAGAAAGCACGCAACAGACCGCGGCTGGCTCCTGGGATAGGACAGGCAGGAGAGAGAGCCCAGCCCGGCAGTGTGAGCGCCAGGTGCCTTTTTGGGGGTGAAATCCATCATCACTGGTCTTGACCACCCTGGCAATACTGCCTCAAGGGAGCTGGTTCGGTAGCTAATTCTACGGAACCTAATTTTCTTTCAACACATACATGTAAATGTTAACTCAGCAAAATGGGCCTCTGTGAGAAATGCTGGTTTCTCATATCAGCACGGATGAAGCAGTTAGTGTTTTCAGTTTCAGCTGGAAAATTTACCTCTTTAAATATGAATATTATTTTTTCCAGTAAGTTAAGCCGGTTGTGGTCAAAAAGAAGAGAAAAGAAAAAACTTCAACAAACATGAACATGTGGTTTTCAAGGAAAAAAAAGTGCTATAATTAACATTTATAAATAGATTCTATTAAATAAGCATTTTGGCAAACGTACGGAAAGGACACTGTCTTGTCCTTGTGAGAGGCAAGCTGCTGTGACACGAGGAAACCAGATGAGCTGGTTCTCGGCTTGTGGCTGTGTATGCAAAGCAAGCCGAGGCCGCTGTGTCTTACAGATGCATGGTATTAATCAACATGCATATAGGGTAGGCATATGGGTTGGAAAATGCAAAGCAGGCCAGATGCTATTTTCAGCTGACTGTCCATGAGAAGACTCAGGTAAGACCGCTGTGCATGGGACGGCCCTTGCAGGATCCGAGAGAGGCTGAGGTCTCTGATTATTTGCCCGTGGCTTCCATATACATTAGTGAAAGGAAGATCTGGCAGCTTTGGGAGCGGGTGGAATAGCACCATATACACACACTTGCTGAAGGAAATAAGTAACTGGGATACGAGTTCTTAGATTGGCATTAAAATGCTGCCAACAAGTTCGTATAAACTTTGTTCCTCCGATAAAGTCCATTTCATTTTCAGTTCGATTTCAAAGATTTTGACTTATTTGCTAGTCAGCAGTAATTTGACTAAACCAAGAGACACATTTTTGGTCCTTGTTCTGTCCACTTCTCCATTCTGTGAGGCTCTTATTTACTTATTCTCTTACTGTCTGAGTAACTGTCTTCCCTCCCATTGGCTGGGCAAGTCTCGAATTCTGTTACTTGACCACTTGATGCAGGCAGAATCCCACCCGACCTGACCCGAGAGTGTGAACAGCCTTTAGAGAAGCCGTGGGTGGTCTAAGGAAGGGGCCTGACTCTGAGATGAGGACTGCGCCATTGGAGGCCGGTGCCCACTTCCTTCCCTCAAAGGAGGGGCTTCAACTCACTCACTTCACTTGTCAGTTCCACAAGTATTTCCTGGGCATTCGCTGGCAACAAGACGCTATGCCAGGCTAAGATGCTGCTGTTAAATATTCTTACGTGCATTGTAAAGAAAAACAAAAAATGAATGAAACAGATTCTTGGTCAGATTACAGTGTAACTCACCCCAAGCTGCAACCAGTCACAGTGCAACTTTTAGAGCCTCGTAATTCAGAAAGTGTGCTTTAAACCAAACTAAGCCTCCCTTACTCACAAAACACGAAGGCCCTGCACACCACCCCGCTCTCAGCACAGCACTGAGATGGAGAACCAGAAGGTTCCCCACAGGGCGCGGGTACACTGCGGGAGCCTCCTCTCTAGCCCGAAGCCAAGGAGCACATGAAGTCATTCCTGGCTAGTCTGCGGAAGCGAATGTGACCCAGGACACCGTGCTAGAAGTTGAAAAAGAGGACTGGGCAGGTCACTTTTACTTTCGGAATAACTCTTGTTAACATATACACTAATTTTTTCTCTTTCAGAGACACTGTGAGCGGTCGGCTTTCTCATGTTTTCAGAAGGTCCAGCTGAAGCCGGCAAATGCGGGAGACAACGAGAAGACCATCAACGTGCTGACTAAGCAGCTGATGAGGAAACTCCCTCCCGTAAATTCAGGGAGAAGACAGAAACAGAGACTAGTAAGACTTATTTGCTGTCTATTTTATTTGCACTGGTTAACTATACCCAGCCCTCTCCTCATGTAGCCAGAGGCTCAGTGCCTTTCTTCCTGTTACACCTAATATACGGTGCTGTTTTCAGACACGAAGTCAGCTCTTCAAAGTCCACAGACTTGAAGTGCCCAGAACCCCACCTGGAATTTGCTGACAATCTGACAGCTGGAGTAAGTTCATACAGCTCCCCAAAGCGAGGGAGTCACTAGGTAGAAAAGACAATTGCAACTTAGGAGCCAAAAATGTTTTGGTCACATACAACTTGTGTTCTTATTGACAGAAGCTAGATCCTGGTTTTCCTACAAGAAAAGAGATAGCCTATAAGAGACCAAGATAAATCTAGAACCTGGCCTTCCTCTCTTAAAATATATCACTGTCCTGTGCAATTGCAGAGTCGGCACTACGTTTAAATAGATAGAGCCTATTATTTGGCTGGGGAATTTCAATTGTCCCTAATTTGGGGGGCCCCGAGACCCTCTTGTATATCTCTTCTTTTGCCAATGCAGGAGCCATGCTCACACTGTCATGAGTAATTAATCAAAACCAGTGGATAAACACATAAGATAAATTACTCTAATTTTTTTTTATCAGTTCTCTCTCCTCCAAGGAATTTCACATGTGATTCAAGTGAAATCTTAATTACATTGTCAAAATTATTTTTATTCCTTTTGATTTCTTGGCCAGTTTGTAATGTGAAAAGCATCCCTCTCAAACTTTCCTCAGAAAGAAGGGAGCTGGGTGTGTCTTGCAGAGCCAATATCACAGACTAAAGAAATGGCAGTGTGGCATTGAGCTCAGAACTGTCCCGTTAGGCCCTTCATCTGACAGACGGGAAAGTGAGACCAAAGAGCTTAAGTGACTTGTCCCGAGCCCCACAAACAGTAAGAGCCAGAACGAGAACGAGGATTCATATCTTCCACCTGTCAGTCAAATGCACTCATCACAACATCAGACTGGCATTAGAGATGCTGATCACCAAGCCATGGCCTGGTGTCTGGCCTCTTAAGAGAAATAAGGATAAAAACATAAACCATGAAATTAATATATATATGTTTATGTATATATGGGTGGGCAATACACATATGAAAAATTGTTCACTCTCCCTATAATCAAATAAATAGAAATTAAAACAGAAAAATCCTATTTTTCCCAATTAAAAACTGTTATACCTAACAATGGTAAGAATGCTCTATGTAAATAGAGGTAAAATTTTTTTCAATGTACATCAAAAGCCTTAAAATTGTCATCCCTTTAATTTAGTGATTCTACTTTTAGAAATTTATCAAGTAAAATAAACAAAGATGTATATGAAAAACTATTCAGTTTTTTGAAGCACTGTATAAAACGGTGAAAAGTTAGAAGCAATCTATGTGCCTCAAAATAGTAATAATTCAGTTCTATTTGGAATACAAAGCAACCACTGTGTGTTACATTCTTGAAGAATATTTAATATGTAGGAAATGCTTGTAATATGTTAAGTGTTAAAAAAAAAAAAAGCAAATTACCAACTAGTGTAAATAATACAAATGTGAAAAATCACCAGGAAAACATACGCTGAAACATTGCAGTGGTCTCTGAGAATGAGGTTACACGTGAATCTCCCCATTTTTATTTTCTGAACAATTTTATGCGCTTCTCAAATTTTTTCAGTGAACGTGATTTATGTCTCTTATTGGAAAACAATAAATTTTAAATGAACATTTTATTCAACAGGAAAAACATTTTAAAGACTGTTACTGTTGCATTGATTTCTAGACATGCCCTTCATGTGATTCTTATGAGAAAAAGCCACCCAAGGAATTCCTAGAAAGACTGGAATCGCTCATCCAAAAGGTATCGAATCTAAATTGTCTTTGATTTTCTACCTCGTCTCCATCCATACTGCATCTGTTTCGGTTACTCATGGGATGCTCTCTCCACAGATGATCCATCAGCATCTCTCCTAGAACACGTGAACTATGAAGGTTCCTGAGGACCTGCCTTGAAGCTGGACACTATGTTACACACTCTAACACAGCAGTGAAACTCACCTCTGGGTATTCCGAATGGAAGAATACAATATATTAGTGATGGGGGAAAATCTCAGAAAAGTGTTCTAAGTCAGGATTACTTCCCCAAATTACTATGCAGTACTTCAGTTTAATTCACATGCTCTGTGTTTGGTCAACTCGAAAAAACTTTCTACTAAATTAGAGTCTGATTTCCTACATTATGGATTTCTACGACTTCTAAAGTTTTTACTTTATTTTACTGCCCAACTATGACATTTCTTGGTTGGAGGAAAAGCTTAAAATTTTCAGGTAAAAATACAGTTTGAGAATTTATTGATCTTATATTAACCTTGATCTTGATTACTGCAAGAATGAGGTCTCATAATCATAACTTTAAAAAGTTATATACCTTCATTCAAGCTGAAAAATATAGAGGCATAAAGTCAAAATGGAAAGTTGAAGGCTTTATTCTTTTAAGAAAATGAAAACTGAATGTTTAAAAATGTGTATCTGAAGAGTTTACTTTTTATCTCAGAATATCTAACATATAAATATTTAATTTATTTATGTACCAGGGGGATAGCTTTACCAGATGGCTACAAAAAAGGTCTTACTTCTTTATCGGGATTTAGCAAGTATTTAAGTAGTGTACGTATGAATGTATTTATGGAATAGACTCTTGGTCTTTGTTTTCTTTAAGTGTTTAACAGTACCTTCCCCAACTCAAGTCCGCTTATAAGCTAAAACTTTATGCTTGTGGAAGTGGCAATTGAAACTTACAGAGGGGACACCTGTCAGGTGGTCTTCTGGAACCCAGCAGAGCTTTTAAAAAGTCCTGTAGCTTTCTTCTCGACTCGTTACAACAACTGCATGGGAGAGAGCTGACAACTCCAGATGTCTGTTTCCTTCCTTCTCTTTTTTTTTTTCTTTCCTCTTTTAAAATGACAATTTATGTTTGTATGCTTGGCATAAGGCAAGTTCAGTCAAACACAGAAAATCAAAATCAGAAGACAAAGTGAGAGGCCAGGACCTCTCGCCTAATAGAAAACAGACTTTTGCATCAACATGGGTAGTAAGAACAAGCAACCTGCTCTAACTGCCACTTCACATCACCTCCAGCAGTTTATTTAAATATGAAGTTAAAAACTCTAGAAAAATAAAATTCTCACGAGAATGTTATAAGCTATTTGAGAGTCTCATTAAAATGGCTGTGAGTGTGCAGGAGGTTGTTGGGTGGGAAACGCTTTATGCGCTGAGAAGAAAAGTTATCTACTTAAAAGTATTTTCACAGTAAGCACAGACTAATTTATAGCTCTAAAAAGTATGTTAGAAATCAAGTACGGCATCAAATCTCAATGAAATGTTTTATCGTCGGAAATAGGGTATCCACTTTAAAACTGTTTAAACGCTATTACCAAGGAACTGTGTAAATAGTGCCCAATGACGCCACACATGTAAAGCCTGCCTCGGTGTCCAGGGTGCCCGGCCAGCATGGGCACAAAGGTCAAAAGCAGGCACGGAGCTGACTTGGGAAAGGTGGGGTCTTTTCTGTTTGTTTGTTTCTGGGTTTCTAGTTGTTGACTTCTTTGACACTGCGATTTTATATTTAAAATAATATATTTATTTTGGTGTGTGTACTGTTAAAAATCTCTGTTCTAATCCTTTTGACCGGAGATTCTGCCTTAAAAGTAAAGATAGTCTGTTGGGGTGTCGGCTGCGAGCCTTCGCTAACTTCAGTTTGAAGATTCGGGTAGAGACCTTGCAGCACCCAAAAGAGGCAAAGCGCTGGGATGGACGAGATGAAGAAGTGAGACCTTACAGCCCCACCCCCATGGCTCTGTGCTCGAGACTTAGCGGTGTCACTGTTCACCTACGGATGGTGACACAGGGGACCTGAAATTGTGCTGGCTGCGCCACTTCCTAAATTGGGGGGTTTGCATTTCCTTATCAGTAGAATGAGGTGTTGATAGTCTATTCTGCCTTTTTTTAGAGCTTTGTGTGTCTATGAGCCACTAAAGTTCTGGGTACTCTTCCAGAAACATCTGGCCATACTTCTGAGTAAAACTCTCTACTGAATCTGACATCCAGTTGCTCGACATATTTCAAAAGCATTGTAGCAACACTCACTGTAAGAATGAGGGAAATGTTCAAAAAAAAAACAGGAAAGAAGAAGGAAAGAAAAAGAGAAAGGAGAAAATGTTGCTGTAGGCATGGGCGTTCAGGGACATGAGACATGACCTCTACCCCCTTAGCCGACAGTGTCGTCTCTGGACACTTGTATAGAACTGTAGCATTATTGTTCTGTATTACTGCTCTGTTGTACTTACATCTGCATCTGAGAATTCAGTTTTAATATGAAATATGTACTTTATAACTTAATGATTATTTATTATCTATTTGGTTTAAATGTTCATGTTCATGGCTCCTTATTTAAGACCTGATCGTATTAAATACTACCCAGTCAGTACAACTGTCTGCTGTGATTCCCTGGAAACCCTTCATTCAGTCGCCTTAGCAGAAAATAAAAGAGGACGCTGAGTTTCTGGGAGCACCTAGTTTTCACATGCATACAGTACAAACAGTCTCCTCTCCGTACACCGGGTCCCTGAAACGGGACCTTCTACTTCCGGCCCCTCCCTCTAGGAAAGCGGGACCCCTGCAGCCCTCCGAATGCATGCCGGTCCGGGAGGGACTGGAGATTCCCTCCCCGGTGCCCGTGGGTTGCCTGTACACTCTGTGCAAACCGCTCTGCTTCTCTGAAGTTTACTCCATCTAGCTTGTCTGTCCCCCTACTTCTTATTGATGACTGCCATCACCTAACCTTCCTCCATGTTTGCTGAGGACTCAGGCACAGTCTTTTCCTTGAATCCAACTTCTGCTGCCATAGTGGGTGACTTCAGTGCCCGCGAGGCGGGTCTCACCCACACTGTGGCTTGCTAGAACCTGACTGCCCCAGTTCCAACGCCTGCACCCTTTACCCCACCCTCAGCCCACTCCCCTGGCCACGAGCCAGACTTTGTCATCTGCGACCACTCTCTGTCTGAAATCCCGACATATCTAAAACCATCACCTGCTAGTCTCCTAGTTCTCAAACCGCCCTACTCCTATTCCATTGGTCCCGAGACCCCATCGCACAGCCAGGCCTTCGGGTTATTGGCGCCCCCTCACTGAACCCGAGCCCCCATCAGCCCCTCGAACCGCTGACTCAGCAGCACATGCGATCTCGCTCATTTCCAGAACCTGCCTGCAGACTCCCTGCCTCGCTGCTCTGTTCTGGTCCCCTAATCCCGCTCTGGACATCGGCTCTGGCCCCTCACCTGCGGGGACCCTTTCAAACTCCGCTATTTAGCTTACTGCAGTCACCTTCCCACTTCACTCTCGCTCCAAACATTCACCTGCTGCCTCTATCTACTCTGGCCCCAGGTCAGTCCGGTATGACCCAGCCTCGCACGGGAGAGGGAGGTTTGCGTGTTCACAGCTGAGCCCTCCGAAAGAGCTGTCTGCACCTGTGTCTGCACGCCTTCCCCTCCTATCCACTTTCCAAACCACTGTAACCCACACCCAGCACTGTGTCCTTCAAATTGCCCTTCCTCTGGTCAACAGCGACCTTCAAATGACCCGCCTCACATGAATGTCTAAGTCCTTATCTTTCGTGATCACATCGTGGCTTCTGCTGCCCTTGACCACTCTCTCCCTTACCTCTCACTGGGAGGCCACCCTTCCTCCCGATTCTCGTCTGACCGCAACCCTCAGCGTCAGTGGTCAGTTTGCTTTCCTGTGTCCTCCCCTAGGAAGCTGACATTCCCAAGGATTCTGTCCTTTGCCACCTTTTCACTGTAAACCTTTCCCCTCGGCAGCTGAATGAGTTCCTGTTGTTCTAAACACACCTCCACTATGTCGCGGACCCCCAAATCTGTAGATAAAGGCTGGGCCCCTCTGCTAATTCCCAGGCCCCTATGTCCAGCTTACCCCTGGAGATTCCATCTTTTTCTCCCAGGCCCTTCACCCCAACCGGCCAAAACTGATCTCATCACTTTCCCCCACTTCCACAACCTTCTCTGTTTTCCAACGTTCCCTAATCTTGATTGATGCAGACACGTGGCCCCGCCTCCCAGACTCTGCCTTTTCTCTCATACGCTGTAGCCACCTGGTCACCCGGCCTCACTACTTCTGTCTCTTAAATCCACCCTTTCTTTCCTGCTCCCACCTCAGGGCAGGCTCTCAGCAGCGGACGCCATAGCTTCCGACTGGCTTGCTGCACTCCTGCCTTCTCCTCTTTCCCGTCTCTCTCCTCATGGCCGCCAGAGCGATATTTTATAAAATCTAAGCCTGGTCACAACCTTCCCTTATTAAAATCTTCCACTTTCCTTTGGAATAAAGCCTAGGCTCAGAGCGGGGCACGCAAAACCCTTCGTCACCTGTTCCGTTCAGCTCCGGGCCTCTCTTCACCTTGAACTTCACATTCCAACCAACCCAATCTACTTCTGGATCCCTAGACACACCACATTGCTTCCTTCCTCCTTGCCTTTGTCCTTGCAGTGACCTCTCCCCTCCAGCCGCTCCGTCATGCCAGGAGAACCCTCATGCGGCTGTGGATATTTGACTTAGATTTCCATCCCCAGCCTTTCCTCTGTGCCAGCGTTCCTCTCTCCACTTTCCGAACTGGAGCCTACTTGGGTTATTAGACTAAGCAAGGTGCACACAAACTCATCAACTTATACGTCCGTTTCCCTTTCCAGAATGCAGCCCCATGGCAGGAGCAACTGTATTTTGCTAGCACAGTGCCTCCCGTGTAGTAGAAAACAGAGACCGGAAAACAAACGTTTACAAAACTGAACTAAATGCAAAATATATGTTTGTGCATTGAAATCTTCCATGCCGTCTCTTTGCCTTACACGTTGACTCCAATTACCGCCGAAGCCAGCCATAGCCGCCAGTTGGTTTGGGCCACCACAGCCTTTCGCTCGGGTGATCGTGACATCTTCCTAAATAGTTCTGCTTTTGTCCTTGCCCCTCACCAAAATCTATTGGCAAACACGTAACCTGAAGGATCCTTTTAAAAACTAATCAGAATATGTCACCTCTCAGCTCCACACCTTCCGATGGCTCCTCTCTAATTCGGGGTGAAGCACGAGTGTGAAGGACCGCTGGTCACGTCCCCTCCAGCCCTGGCCCC